TTGTGTGTTCCATATAAATTTGGTAAGTTTTGATTTTATGAGATATTGGTAGTTGAATGTTTGTTCCCATGTATAGTTTGTATACATAGCTTTAGAGACTGGTAATAGATTTATAAGGGAGAGTATTTTCATGTTTCAGATCGAGTCTATAGCTCAGATTACAACAATGCAGACATATACTTTAAAGTGGCAGAGCCCATTGTGGAGTCAGCTTTGGCTGGCTTCAATGGAACCATTTTTGCTTATGGACAAACATCATCAGGTATGGAGTATTTTTTCTGGAAGTCTTTTGAAGAGTATTAGAATATATATCCATAATACTGACTTATTTCTCAATCAGATTCAGAAGACGTGGCGTGAATAACTATGTTTTCACTTATAGGAAAGACTTCACCATGATGGGAACCGTGACCTCCCCGGTATCATCCCAATGGCAATCCAAAACATTTTCAATTCCATTGAGAACACACCTGACCGGGAGTATTTGATTCAGGTTTGTCTGGTTTCTTTTTAGAATTAAAATAACAAATAAATTATTTCTGAATATGAACTTCCTGAATTGTTAATGTGATGTTATGTTCCCATGTATAGTTTGTATATATAGCTTTAGAGACTGGTAATAGATTTATAAGGGAGAGTATTTTCATGTTTCAGATCGAGTCTATAGCTCAGATTACAACAATGCAGACATATACTTTAAAGTGGCAGAGCCCATTGTGGAGTCAGCTTTGGCTGGCTTCAATGGAACCATTTTTGCTTATGGACAAACATCATCAGGTATGGAGTATTTTTTCTGGAAGTCTTTTGAAGAGTATTAGAATATATATCCATAATACTGACTTATTTCTCAATCAGATTCAGAAGACGTGGCGTGAATAACTATGTTTTCACTTATAGGAAAGACCTTCACCATGATGGGAAACCGTGACCTCCCCGGTATCATCCCAATGGCAATCCAAAACATTTTCAATTCCATTGAGAACACACCTGACCGGGAGTATTTGATCAGGTTTGTCTGGTTTCTTTTTAGAATTAAATAACAAATAAATTATTTCTGAATATGAACTTCCTGTAATTGTTATGTGATGTTTTTAGCATATGCAATATCATCAAAATCTTGAAAGGTAATCATTATTTTTGCAGGGTCTCATACATGGAAATCTACAATGAGAACATCACAGATTTGCTTGCCTCACGTGAATCTCGTGGCAAGAGCTTGAGTGTGCGAGAAGATATTTCAGGCAATGTATATGTTGCTGACTTAAAGGAAGAGTGTGTAAACTGTGAAGAAAGTGTAAGTGTGATGCCTTTTTTCCTTAGGACTTTTATTGTTATATTTGACCCTATTATTAGATTTTATTGTATAGCTGAATCTTGATAGTCTTCAGTGAAAAATTAATATGCCTTTTATTTTATGGTAAATATTAGCAAATTATTGCATTAGCTATATATAAAATGAAGTTGGGATGTCCTTTTTATGATATGTTTATGTATAGTATGTTTATATAATCCATTTGTTACAGTTGTTAGCCTTGATGAGAAAAGGAGACAAGAATCGCCATGTTGGAGTTACAAACATGAATGAACGTAGCTCTAGATCACACACCATATTCCGTATTGTAAGAAAATTGTTCATTTGTAAATTGTATTAAAGCATAGACTATTTTATGTATGATACTGTATTTGCTGATCTGTTTATAGAGTTGGGGAAGTTTTTCTTTTTAAGTTTTTGGAAATCATATGGTTTAATTATATCTGCAACATGAATTGTATTATTCACGATTTATATTTAAGACATTTAGTACTTCATACATCTTGAAAATAATAGAAAGATTCCAAACAGACTTCTCAATGACAATCAATCATGTGACTCTCCTTTCTACAGATTTTAGAGTCACGAGAACGCACTGAAGGGGATGGCAGTGATTCAGCTGTAGTTGTCTCTCAGCTGAATCTGGTTGATCTTGCTGGTTCAGAGAATGCATCCCAGACTGGAGCCACCGGGGAAAGGCTTAAAGAGGGAGGCTTTATCAACAGGTCCCTCTTCATGCTTGGACGGGTCATTTCACAATTGAGTGATGGAGAGTGAGTATCAGATCTTATAGTATTTTAGATTAGAATATTAAGATTGTGGTTCAGATGTATGTGAAGATGTACAGTGGTATAAGAGTGAAGGTTTTATGTCAGATATTCTATCTGTAAGGGGTTCATTGTAAGTGAATTAGAGTGATAAATGCAGAATTTTATCTTGAGTTAATATAAATCTATTGAAGGTAGGTTTTTTCTCTAAAACATCAACATTTTGCTATTTTCTAATTGGTATGAGTTTTCCTTGCTAGTTAGGCCTTTTATTTTGGTTATTTACTTTTGTGTATTTATATATATGTTTATATACTGTATTTATTTTTTTTTTCTCTTTTTATTATCCAGGCAGTTTGTAAATTTCCGTGACTCTAAGCTGACACGAATTCTACAGTTGTCATTAGGAGGAAATGCCAAGACTGCTATTATATGCACAGTTACTCCAGCAGCTGTAGACCAAACACATTCTACTTTAAGGTAATGTGTACCATATCTGTCTGTCAATACCTGACATTCTTTGTAGTATAATATTGTTTTCAAATTAAGTCATTCCAACTTTTACTCTGTTACTAAAAAATAACGATTTTGCTGTACATATATGTATTTGTACTCAATTCAATATCAGTATCTCTTTGACTGTTACTAAAAAATAACGATTTTGCTGTACATATATGTATTTGTACTCAATTCAATATCAGCATCTCTTTGACTATTAATTAAGGTTAATTAATGACTTTTAGGATGTGTAGTGTTAAGAAATCAGAATAACCAACAAGAACATGCCAGATTTTGTATTTTTTTACTTTCTTTAGGTTTGCATCAAGAGCCAAATCAATTAAAAATAAGCCTATTGTGAATGAAGTTTTGTCTGAGGCTGCTCTGCTGAAGAGATATGCAAAAGAGATTAAGAAGTTAAAGGAGTCTCTTGAAAAAGAACGCAATACTGATAAAGCACAAGAAGTAGAACAGGTGAGAGGACTGGAGTGTGTATTTTCATCATTAGAATTTAGCAGTTTTGTTGATGTAATATACTGCAAGATGGACACATGTTTTATAAAAATTACTGATAACTGGTTGATCATGACACCAGGTGCGTGAGATGTTGGATGAGCAGTCCCGCAAGAATGAAGATCTTCAGGCCAAAGTGACAGAGCTAAAAACTATGTTAGTAGTATCTAGCCTTCCAAAGGAAACGGATAAGAAGATCATTGTAAGTATCAGAATTGAAGCTTTAACCCAGAACTGACAGGCATGGCATGTACATACATGCCATACCTACTGGGAGTTTATTTCATTAATTGCTTTTGCACAGAGATGGCTCTACTTATATTTAGTCACTAATGATCCAATTATGAATACTACCTGTTTACCCTTTTCCTTGATTTTTAAAAATGTTTTGTTATCTTATATTTCTGTTACTAATGTTAATAACATCATAGAAATTATGATATCTATAATATATATAATACCATCAATATTGATAGCATAGTTTTTCCTGCAAATTCAAAGAAAGGTGAAGCCAGGTAAGGTCACAAGGTGTATTAATTGACTCCTTTGTGGCTAAGCACTTGTAGAGTCATCTTGGTACAAAGACATTTCACAAAAACATTTAAAATGAGCACAGCATTTTCCTGGTGACATTGGGTTAAAAGTGTGAATGAGAATGGTTTCAGGTTGTTAACCTGTTGACCTGATGTCAACTGTTGGGCACATGCCAAGAATGTCTTGACAATTCAAATCTTGGCCAGAGTATGGGCATCATTGTATGCTTCACTACTGTATTTTTATTTTTTTGTTTTGGATGGTAAGAATAATGAGAAAAAATGCTTATTACTCTAGCAGTTATCTGACTTGAAAATCAGGGTAATAGATGGTCATATAAAGTCACAGAAAAAGCAGTACATTTCGAGTTCCTATTCTGATTTGATTGTAGAGGGCACTTAACTAACCCTTTTTGTCAGTTGATTGGTTATGATCACTTGACCTCATTGGGTCAGTTTTCAAGAATGTAACACACACAGATGGTGAAAGTCTATTTGGCCTTCCAACAGTGGGTGCAGTTGTATATGTTGTATCAACTATATAGTGTGTAAAAAGTAGCAAAATTGCTAAAATTGTTTTCAGCTTTGCAAAATAGGAAAACACATTAAAGTAAACAAAATAATGGCACAGATATGTCGATGAGAAAAAGTAAGACAACAGAAAAAATAACAAAGGATAGCTTGTAGAATGACCATGGTTTCATTGCCTGACCACAAAGTAAGATCTTAGATTTAGGCCTTGCAATCACTCTAGGTGCATTGGGTTTAAGAAGCACATCTTGATGTAGAATGCATCATTGGCATAACATATGAAATTTTGAAATTATTACTAAATGCCTAGTATTTGATTGGTAGGTGCAGAGGTTTTCAGCTCTGTTTTGAATCATATCAAAAAGTCATACTTGTATGTAGTAGCATTTTTAGACTGAATGTTGTATGATTAAATCAAGGACAAGAAGAAAAGGCTCCGCCGTGAGACATGGGCAGCCCCAGCAGCATCCAGAGCCATGAGGAGGAGTATGGCTCCACTGAGGATTGAGCCCCTGAATCTGGATCACGAATTTGTGCGGCCGGAATTGCCACCTTGGAAAGATTTGGGAACGCTTGCCGAAGAGTCTTCCAATTCTTCTCAAAGCCCGCCCCTCAACTGCTCATCTGCATCTGATGGTAAGTTTTGTTACAAAAGTATTGTACTATGATAGTATTTAATAAATGAACATTTGTTCCTCAACATTTTTTTAAAATCTAAAGCACCATGTCTTTAATTTGTATTTTATGTTACTGTATTTGTATTCCTGAATACAAATACAGTAACTGGAAAATTATTTAACCAGGCATTCTAATACATATATTAAGGAAAAGAAATATTTGGATAGAATATCCCTGTATCCCACATGAAGTTGTTACCTTTTGAAAAGAAATGTGTAAAAATCTGAAGATAAAAGCAAATTTCCTTCTTGATGATTTCGTTACATAATCACAATGTAGTAAAAGATTTGGAGATACATATTTGTTTGTATATTCTAGGTTTTGGAAAAGATGACCTTAGTTTCAACATGGATTTGGCTGAACAGTCAAAATTAGGAAAACTGGAGAACAGCTTCAATACCCCAGAAATTTTGGGATCAAAGCGGAAGAGAAGAGTCCAGTTTGACTTCACTCTCCCACCAAGTTTCATTGATGCTGAGTGTCAGACTGAAGAGACTTTGCTGCCAAAAATTAAGTGAGTTTGAGGATTGATTTATAAAAAAAAAAGTTGATCATTAATTTCTTTATTCCCCGTCAAGTTAACTTCAAGGACAGTGAACATTACATTCTCACTCATTAATTTTGCCAGTATTACATTGATTTATAATTTTGTAAGAATCAGAAATACACATTGAAAATATATAAAAATAGTACAAGAACAAGGTCAGGTTATAGTATGCAAAGTAGAACTTGATTGGTCAATCATGTTTGATATTAGATCTTTAGAAACGTAATCACTTGCATGATAAGGGGCTGAGTTGTGGGAGGGTATAAGAAGGCACTCTGCTACTCAAGACAAATTATGAGATGGTGAGGCATTCAGCATTTTATACAGAAAATGTTTTCTTGGTTTTATTTATACTAACAACTATATTTTCTAGCCTGCTGCGCTCTCCATATCCAAGTACACCAAAGAAAGGTGCAGGTATCCCTCCTGGTTCGCCAGGAACTCCAGCTCATGTATTGAGAGCAAGAAATACAGAACTGAAACAAAAGTTGGAGGAGCAGAATGAGTGGTTGCAGGAGTGGCAGGCGGAACTTAGTGAACTTCGAGACTTTCAAAAGGTGGAGCTGCAGTTGCTGGAAGAGAGTTTCCAGTTGAAAGTGGCTGATGGACCTATTGATAACACCAAAGTGAGAGATTTTGAATTTTCTTTGTGAGAGATCTTGGAGCTATATTTGCTGCAATTCCTTTGTTTGTCTTTTAATTGTTTTTGTTTACATAGTTGTAATGTTATTCATTTAATATTGTAGGCTTCATTGAAAATAATAAATAGTGAGTTGAACCATATATTTGCAATGAAAATAATTTATTGTGCCTATTATTTCTAATTTCATTAATATAAGACTTCTAAAAGCTTTTTTATTACAAATTTATCCAACAGCTCGATGCTCAGGCTAAAGAAATATCTTCTCTAAAGCATTCTTTGAAAGACTCTGAAACTCTCTTACTGGATGCCAACCGAGCTTTGTGTCAGAAGACCCAGGATTTGGCCAGTTTGCAAGAACAGTATCAGGAACTCATGGAGGAAAATGAAAGAAGATGTGGATATGAGACAGAACTCTTCAAACTGCAAGAGGAAAACATACTGTTGAAGAAATCATTGGTAAGGAATTGGCTTTTTATATATTTATGTATCTCAGTTATGACTGATTTAAAGGTAATATAACTTAGGGGGTAGTCTAAACACTTGATGAAAAAGAAAAGAAAAGGGTGGGGGGGGAAGTGTTTGGTGTTTCAATTTGAAACTTTCAAAATTTATGTTAGCACAAGAATGTGATGTAACATGATGTCATAACATCAGATTTTAAAACATCCTGAAGTCTCCATTGTATGTTCTGGACTTCTAATTTGAAACATGAATACTCTGACATACCCAATAACTTTTTTTTTTTTTTTTTTTTTTTTTTTTTTTTTTTTTTTTTTTTTTTAATGAGTTTTCATTCATCTTGAAACATTCAATCACAAAATGGACATTGTGTCTGACACATACCAATCAGCAATTTTCACTGTTTGTTTTTGTGACATGTTCAGTTTTCACTTTATTAAGAAAAACAATGTAGTTATGAACCTATCACTATTAGAAATACAGATACATATTTTCAAATCCAAGAAATAAGTTTTCTATGAATAGAAAAAAATAATGTTTTGGGCATTTAAAGTTTTGCACCCCCTTTATAAAGTTAGAATAGATATATGGAATAATTGATTGATTGATTGATTTGTTTTTTTAAAGTTTTGTATGTTGTAGCAGTTTTAAAGCTTTTCTTAAAGTTAGCTTTTGATCAAGATTTGAAGTCCCTTAGGCTTTGTACACTTTATTCTTTGGAATAGATTTAACGGTAATTTTCTTTTTCTTTGTACTGTAAAATTAGATGCCTTAAGGGTTCCATATCACTACTTATTTTTAATGGTTCTTAACAAGCTTTTTTGTTTTATTTAATTGCAATATTATTTTCCCCTTTTCTTTGGGTAAACCAGTGTCTTCTTTTCAATATTTTGCTTTTGCAAGAAGTCTATCATTGTAATATCTCCTTTTTTCTAATGCTTGTTCTTGTTCTGGGCTTATGGAACTCTAAAACTTTTCTTGTGCATTGTAAATTTATCTTTTATACCAGATTTCCTTTACATTTCTTCACTTTTTGTCGTTACCAGGAGGAAAACGAAAGAAGCATAAAACAGTTTAAGAATGAAAAGCAAGACTTTGACATGGTAATGGAGTTGGCACTGGAAAAGCAGAAAGGCAAAGAGAGTGATTTAAGGAAGAGTTTGGAGGTGAGTATTGTTCTCTGATAATAATACAGTCTGTGCAGGGAAAAATAGAACAAAAATTAAATGATATAGATAGGAGAGTTTGTAATATGGTTATTGATCTTTCTAGGCTGCTTGGGAAGAGATAGCTAACCATGAAAGCACCACTGTGGATGTAGTCCGAAGACGGAGTATGCATGTTTCTCAACTGGAGAAGGAACTGAATGAGCTTCGTGAGAATCAAGCAGAAATCCAAGAGTAAGTTTTGTGAGGATATTGCCATATCATGGCAAAAACTGTACTCATGCTGGATGAGGTCTAATCATATGCGTAGTCAAGCATTTGCAGGTGTGGTCACTGAGAAGAACCTATGTGCAGCCAAGAGTAAAGAGCAGTGGTTTCCAAACTTTTTTGTTTGGTCCATAAAGCAAAGTCTACAATTTTCTGGGTTCCAAATCAATGACTTGTTTTATGTCAAGAACATATAAGCAGATAAAAAGGTAATTACACAGACAAATAAAAAGGGATTTGTTACTCGTCTGTCTAGCAGCAGTTCCTTACACTAACCCTTACTGAACCTTTTAGATCCCTCCACTGGCTGCCTACCTGCTAAACTTTGGTTTTTAAGATACATATCCTCAGATTATGGCCCTTTACATTCTGCTACATGCCCCCCAGTTTGGGAGCCACTGGTATAGAGAGTAGGGTAAATATATGGCCATTACACTTATAATTCTTAATTTGAGCAGCTGACTGTATAATCACTGTTGGGTGGTTTTTGAATAGCATGGGGATATCCCACTGTGAGTTAGTGTACTATTAAGCAACATCAGTACTTCCGTGAAACTTTATTTCATGTATTGCTGTATCATTTTAACCAACTGAAATTGTTTAAATGGTTAGTAGTCAAACTGAAGAATAGGTTGCCAAGTTCAATATTAATAATCACATTAAAGCTTAAGTAAATCTAGGAAAATTATTGAATTAGTCTATTTTCATTGGTCTACGGATACTTAGTCATATCCTGACTTCACCAATTGTTTTTGCCTTTGTTTCAAGGCTGAAATCAAGTAATGCTGACCTCAAACAACAACTGGAGGCATCACAGCAAGAGCAACAAGCCACTCAGCAATTGGTTGATGAACAGAACTTGAAGCTCCAAGAGGTAGAGACTTTGTTTTAGTGGTCTAGTATTCTTTTGACATATTTACTTATAATGATGATTAAGCAGTTAAGCAATAAATAAAATGGAGAAACTTTCAAATCGCCCTTTTCACAGATGATGATCTTGATGGATAAGCTAAGAGAACTAGATGAACAAGTCTCTCGCATTGAAACCTTGGAGAGTGAACTCCTGAGAGTGCAGTCAGAGCTAGAGAGCAAAGAACAGAAGAACCTGCATCTACAGGAGACTGCCAATGCACTCCAGATGCAGCTAGAAGAGCGAGAATCCCAGGGAACTGCCACAAGGATTCGTGAACTGGAAGAAGAGGTAGTGAATCTAAATTGACTTCATATTAATTTACTTGTACTGTTTATTTTAGTTTAATATAACCTAAAGCAAAATTAACTTCTTATTCATTATTCTTGCTGCTTTAGTGTAGGAATTCTTTTGGATCTGTATGAGACATTATTATTTACTGAAGTGCAAGAAAGTTCTTAATTATTATAGCATTTGTGGACTTCAGGAAGATTAATTTCAGATGTGCTTTCCTATGAGCATTAAGTTCATTGTTTGTAGGTATAATACTATTTTTTGTAAATCATTTTTGCCTTTCTTATATTTTTCTTTTATACCAAATCTAATTTACAGATTGAGAATTTGCGTGACAGTGCAGCTGCAAGTAATACAACCTATAAGCCTCTTCAGCTCCTTAATGCAACACAAGGAGATTGTACTACAGTGTCATCTGAAATCTCTCGAAAGTTATCTGAGACTTTACAGGTGTTAGAAGAATCCATAATGCTACCCTCAACTCCTAACCGCGGTTCTGTTAGCTCCATGGATGAACCTTTCTTCCAAATGCAAGACTTCATTATCATCAAACAGCAGTTGTTAGCTCTGCAGGAGTCACTTCTTGCACAAGAGCAGCAACAGCAATTGCAACAACAGAAATTTGAAGATCATTTAAAAGAGGATGCTTTACATAAACAACAGTATCATTCTCAGGTAAGATTTATTTAGAGATTTAAGGTTTAGAGCATTGTTTCCCAACCTTTTTTGGTTGCGACCCTAAATGCAGTCTTAACATGTGCTAGTAATCCTAAAATGTGTTAACACGTAGTTATAAATCCAACTAGTTGTATGTTAGTTATATTTACAGATGTTTATGAGCTTACATTATTCTATTTATAAAGGTTTATATTACCAACAATGAATTTCAATAAATGTGAAATGGGAAAGAAAAAAAGTGACAACAAAATACAAACTTTTATTTATTTGCTTGCTTTTTCTTCTATCTCTTCTTTTTTAATGAAGGCTTTAAAGTGACGCTCAGAAAAACCCTCTCATCTCTTATTTTGGTCCCTTCCCAACTCCAATTTGGTAATTTAAGTCTTTTTAGATTCAGAGATATTTATAAATGGATAGCCCTACTTTTTAGGATTAAAAAAAATATTAATTGCCATGTTGTAAGGTTAATTGCATACATTACTTTTTCAGATTATTGCTGAAATAGAATCACAGATCAATTCATGGAAAATGGCAGAGGCACTTTGTGCAGACTACATTGCCTATTCTCATGCTCCTTTCACCCATACCAGTTCCAAAGCTCATGCTCAGTCAGTACATACTCGTGAATCTTATGATGATAATGTTACACAAGAAATACATAAGGCAGTTCAAGAAGTTAAAGAGCAGGTACAAGCAGAGTACGAGGCTAGATTAAAAGAGGAACGTGCTGAGTTTGAGGCTAGATTGAAGAAAGAATCTAAAATGGGAAAAGACTCATTACAGGCTGCCACACTTAGTCTTGCTGATGAACTAAAGGATGCTGGCATGAACATGACCCTTTGCAATGAAACATTTGAAACCTCTATTCTCAACCTTGAAAATGATTCCTCACAGCTAGAAGTACAAAAACTCAAGCAACAATTAGACTTGCTTAATAGGGAAAATAGTGCACTTTTGGATCAAGTAAAACAACTATCAGAAATTCATGGTAAAAAGAGGGAAGTCCATAATTATTCCAGTGCTCCACAGTCTCTAGCTGATGAACTACATCAAGCTGGAATGAATATGACTATGAATATTTGTGATGAGACCTTTGAAACCTCCATTTTGAATCTTGGGGCTGACTCATCCATTCAGGAAATCAGTCAGCTGAAGCATCAGTTGCAGCTGCTTGAACAAGAAAATATTAACCTCAGTGAGCAAGTAAAACAGCTAGAGCTTCAAAGGTCAGAGTCTCAGAAGGCAAAAGAGCAGGTAGAAATTGAACTGCAAGGTATTATGAAAGAAAAAGAGGTTTTACAAGCCAGTTTGAAATCAAAGGAAGAGGAACTTTCTGATAGCAATATAATATTGGAAGAATGCCACAGTCTCCGCTGGCAGGTTGATTCTTTGAAACATGATAAGTCTGATCTTGAAGCAGAGTTAAAACTAATGCAGGAGGAAAATGAAAATCTGGAACAAACGATAAATGACAGCATGAAGAAAGTAGAGGCTAACGAGGATATTGTTTCAGAGAAAATAACAGATTCTCTTGAGGGAGAGCATATAGATGACAGTCAAGATCTCCATAAGGCTCAAAAACAGATGGAGTATCTTGAGAATGAAAATAAAAGACTAGAAGAGGAACTGAAGAAATACACAGCATCCACAGAAGCCGAAGCAGTAGCAACACCTCAAATAGAAAGTGAAGAGCACATTGTAAATGAAAGCTGTAAAATGGATGATGCAGACAGATTGAGTGATGATTTGTTTGGTGATGAAGAAACAGAATATCAGAATGTTAAGGAGACCAGAAACACTATAGAAGAACTAAGAAAGAAATTAGAGGATAAGGCCACAGAGTTGGAAGAAGCTAGGAAAAAGATTATTTCCTTTGAGGAAGACTGTCAGTTGGATTCTGGGGAAATTATGAGCATCAAAGAATTAATTGCATCTAATCAAGAACTGAGGAAAGAATTATGTGAAAAGTCTAAAGAACTAGAAGAAACAGGTAAGAAAATAGAAGAACTTAAATCATCAGCTGTATGTGAGGAGTCTATAGATCATCTTAAAAAGGAGCTTACCATTGCCAAAGAGAAGATAGTTACTCTAGAATGCCAAGCAGAGAAGCAGGAAGCAGATTTGATGAAGGAGGCACATGTAAAGAAAGCTGTAAAAATGGATGATGGCGACAGATTGAGTGATGATTTGTTTGGTGATGAAGAAAACAGAATATCAGAATGTTAAGGAGACCCAGAAACACTATAGAAGAACTAAGAAAGAAATTAGAGGATAAGGCCACAGTCAAGAACTGAGGAAAGATTATGTGAAAAGTCTAAAGAAACTAGAAGAAACAGGTAAGAAAATAGAAGAACTTAAATCATCAGCTGTATGTGAGGAGTCTATAGATCATCTTAAAAAGGAGCTTACCATTGCCAAAGAGAAGATAGTTACTCTAGAATGCCAAGCAGAGAAGCAGGAAGCAGATTTTGACAGCAAGATTTCAGAAATTATAGCAGAAAAGGATAGTGAAATGGAAATGTTCATCACCAATTTTTCAGATAAAGAAGAGGCACTAGAGGAGAAACTGAAAGAACTTGAGTCAGCTAACTCCAATGTTGTGGAAATGAGGAAAACACTAGCAAGTAAAGAACTAGAGGTTCAGAATCTTGCTGCTGAATGTAATACACTCAAGACTACAGTTAGTGACCTAGAGAAGCAGCTGTTAGAAGAGCAAAATAAATCTGATGAAGTAACAAGTAAATATCAGATTATGCAGAAAGAAAATTCAGACAGTTCTATAGAAACAGAAAACAAAATTCAAGAACTTAAGAACATTATTGCTAGTCATGAAACTGCTCTTACGGACAAAGTTGAACAACTAGAAGAGATGAAGAAATCTATGGAACATCAGAAGGAACTTCTGGTTGCAGCAGAAGCAGAAAAACAAGAACTCAGAGAGATAAGTGAAAGGAACATGCTTCAAGAATTACATAATGCTTCTGTTAAAGCTGAGACTGAGAAGACTCTTGACAGAGATGACCATTCCATTTTAGGTGACAAGCTTGATGAATTGAAGCAGCTAAAAGAAGAGTACATCATGAAGGTCAAGGAACATAAACAACTGCAGGATAGCATGGAAAACCTTAGGATTGTTCTCTCAAAGAAGGAAGAGGAGTTGAAGACCTTAAACACTGAACATGAACAGGAGGTTTCCTCTTACATTGAAAATCTAAATAACAAGGATGAGAAGATACAGGAACTTGAAACCGTAATCACTCAACACAATGAGGAGCGCACAAACATGATAATGGCACTTGATGCTAAAGATCACAAAGTTCAGCGCCTCACCTCAGAGCTGGAAGAGAGCCATCAAAGCCTACAAAGTAAGGAAAGGGAATTCCAGCTTTACCTAGATTCAGCTGAATCAGATATGTCCAGTCAAGTGAAAGAACTTCAAGCAGAGGTTGAACATTTAAATAAACTCCATAACGAAGTGTGTGAGGACAGGAAGAATATGGCAGAAGCCATCAAGACCAAAGAGGACATTGTGGAGACTTTGCGGTCTGAGCAACATACTTTGAAAAATGAGTTGGAAACTTTAAATGAAAATTTGATGGTAACTAGCGAGAAGCTGAGGACTTATGAAGATGAGGTCAATGAGAAGAACAACACCATATCAAAGCTGGAATTTGAACAGGAAAAACTCCAAAATGATATTCTGAGTCTAAAATCTCAAGAAGAAAATTCCAAAGGGGAAGAAGTAGAGAAGTTGGTAGGAATTATTGAGAAGTATGAAAATGAAATATCAGAAAAAGAGGAGCATCTGCGGAATATTTCCAAAGAGGTAGAGAGCAAGGACTCTCATATCTGTAATATTGAGAAAGAGATTCTGAGCCTGCAGAAGAGCAATGAAGATATGGCAGAAGAATTGAAAGAATTCAAGGAAGTCAAAGAAAGATACAGCCAGCTGGAAAAGGAAGTGGTAGAGCATAAAAGAGATTCACTCACTGAGGCAGATGGCCTTCGCCAGAAAGTTCTGATTTTGGAAAATAGCCTTTCTGAGCTAAAGGTAGATTATAAGCACAAGGTTGAGAAATTGGAAGAAGAAATATCCTGTCATCTCTTTGAAAAAGAAAACCTGTATAAGAAGCTTTCGGAATCTGAAGTTAAGTTGGATGAAATTAATGCTGAACTGAATGATGTGCAGGAAAAATTGGCACAGACAACAAAAGCATCAGATGAAAAGACTGAACTAATAGATCTGGCAAAGTGCACAGAGGATCAGTTGAACAGCAAGATAGAGAATTTAGAGGAAGACCTAGAAAGCTTCAGCAGCTGTTTAACTTCAAAGGAGGAAGAATTAGAAAAACAAAAGGCAGCCATCTGTCTTTTGGAAGAAGAAAAACTGAAGCTTGAAGAAGAAATCACAGACCTACGAGCTCAAGGGAAGGCACTGGATGACCAGTTGGAGTCGAATAATACACAGATTGAAGAGTTGGTGAGGATAATTGAAAAATATGAGACAGAAACCTCAGAAAAGGATGTGCAACTGCAAAAATATGAGACAGATAGATCAGAGAAAGAAGAACAGTTGCAAAATTTGGTAACAGAAATTGATTGCAAAGAGTCAAGCATCAGGGAAGCTGAGAAAACAATTCTGTCTCTTCATGAAAAGAATCAGGAGATGCTTGATAAGCTACGAGAATTGGAAGGACTAAAAGATAAATATTTCAAACTTGAGAAAGATCTGCAAGAGCAAAATAACATGAAAAGTTTAGAAGATTTACCTGAGAAACTGAGGAACACTGAGAAAAACCTTGCAATCCTTCAGGCTGAATATGAAGAAGAGATAAGAGGATACAAAAGAGAAATCGCTGAATATGTGTCACAACATGAAGAAGTTGTTGAAAAACTTTCACAGACTGAAGATGAGCTGCAGAACTTCAAGGAACAGATTCAGATATTGAAGAAGGAATTATTAGAGAAAGAAAATTCACTGGAGGTAAAAGAAAAGGAATGTGCAAAGCTTGATTCAGAAAATGCAGATGCATTTATACAACTAAGAAGGACTGAAACTGAAGTAAAGAGATTAAAAGAAGAAATTAACTTGTACAGAACTGAACAAGAAGAGAAGGGAGACCAAGGACATGTTCAGCATGAACTCTCCATCAAGTTGATGAAGACTGAGGAAGACCTGCAGCACTGTAAAGAACAGATTCATA